GGCGTCCGTTGGAAGAAAGCCGTTGCGGGTACTAGGCTGCCCGTCGGGGTCAGAGAGTTTTCACCTATTTCCACATCCTCCTGGAGGAAAGTCCATCCGCCTTCCGATGTATAGTCGCGTGGGTGTCTCAGACGTTCTGAGATGCTGTCTGGATATCCTTTGTCAAGCGATAAGTGTCCAAATAATTGTAGACTCGAAGGGCGAGAGACAAGGAGGACTACTCACGGCGCCATCTTGGATCTTCTCTTCCGAGATTATTATACTGCTTTTTATCAAATACAGTCACCTTCGTTCAATTATCTTCTGATGTTCCGCTCCCTCTCGGTAATGTCCCCAAGAGTCATTGTCTGGCCTCTGCTTCTGCTGCCTTGGGTGCCCAGTCTCTCCCTGGGTAGCTCATTCCATTTTCTGACCATTCAAAAGTCATTCCTAATAGTGAGCTAAAATATAACTTCTCATTTCTAGTTCTGCCTTCTAAGGCTAAAAGTCGGTCTTGTCTCTCGTTAATATCACATCTCCTTAGATATTTGAAAGTGATTATTGTTCCTGCCTACTCCACCCCTCGTGTTTTCTCTTCCTTCAGCTGAGTGTCCTCATTTCCTTGAACAGCTCCGCTTCTGTTATGGCTTCTAGTCTCTTCACCAACCTTGAAGTAATCTCTGGAATTTTTAAAAATCTTTTCAGCAAAATATTTTTCAAGCCTGATTTTTTTGTGTGTGCAGTATATCAGTTACCCTTCCTGTGGGGTCAGGAGCTTTGAAAATCTCTTAAACTGAGGTGCCCAGACTCCACCAAGACTCTCCAGGTGTGTGTGGAACACTGCAAGGTTGAGCTGGACCTCTTCTTCCTTCTTTTTTCTCTCTCTCTCTTCCTTTTTTTCTTTTTCTTTTCTTTTTCTTTTCCTTTTTCCTTTTGTAATCAGGACTATATATGCTTCTCCCCATCTTTCATCCCTTCTCCTTTCCCTGTGACTCTTGCCCGATTACCTAACATGGCGCAAACTCAGCTGTACGCTCTCCCAGCACCCTGGGAGAGGATTCATCCCCGTCAAAAACGTGAACTCATAAGCCTCCCTGTGGGTGCTCATGGTCTCTTTGCTTCACAGTGTTTATTCTCCTTTTTCCGGTGTGAAAATGGTACGTGTTAAAGAGGATAAAGGAAAAAACAGAGATATGGGTCCCGGTCTCTCTGTTTTTAGGTTATATCGTACCATCTGTCCCACAAGCAGCAAGCCTAATATTTTCTTTTTCTTCTTGCTTCAAGCATAATTTAAAAACCTTCTGAAATACCTCTACAGTCCAGACTTTTCACCAAACCTGAATTCTGTATTTCCAACAGTTTATTGGACAGTGTCTGGACATATGTCCCTCCATCCATTCTAGTCTAGGCCGGGAGCTCCATGGTTGTTATATTCTAAGCCCTCAGCACATTGTGAGACACATAGCAACAGATGTTTACATGAATTAATGAATAAGTGTCTGAAATCCCAATGCTTCATCCTATTTATTGCCCTTTCCTCACTCCGTTCTCTTTGTCAATAGCATTCTGTGTTCATACTCACAGATACCCAAACTGCAGTCATGTAGCAGAAAGCCCACTGTGTCACATTAGGCTTTAAAATCTTGGACTCATCTTTGAACCTACTCTATTCTTTGCCATTATATCCATTTCATCACCAAATTCTATTTTTCTCCATTAAAATTTCCTCACATCCTTCGCTTTCCCCCTCCTTTAAATTCCCCTTCAGCCGCACCCTAAACCTGCCTCTCCTTATATAACTCGTGTTTAGGTTGTTGAAAATGCCTCTAATTGGTCTCTTTGTCCTCTGTCTTCCTTCTCTCCTCCACCCCCAAATCCACTGACTGATTTACTGCTCTGGCCTTCATAAGTATTACGGCTCTCATCTTGTTATTCTTCTGCTTAACAAACAAGATGCTCCCTTTACAATGAATCTTCTTCCTGACTTTCCCAGACCTTCTCAATGTCACCCACCTTCCCCGAGTGTCTTATTTGCTGATGTCCTCTATCTACATTCTTTGTTCTAGTCATTTGAAATAGTGCCTGCCAGGTGCCTTACGCCTGTATCAGTGTGCATGTGTCTGGTGTGTGAGTATATACATACGTGCTTTTCTAGTGTCGTCCCTCTGGGGACTGCCCTCTCTGGCCCTCTGTTCTGTCTAAATCCTGCCTCACATAGTCTGCCTTAATCTAGAAAGCATTCTGTGACTACACTCAAATACTTTTTTCCTCTAAAAAGACCATTTTAATATGATTGTCCCGAATTGTTTAACGCCTATAGTTTTGTGTCTCCACCTTGATTGGATTTAACTCCTCAGGGTCAGAGTCCTCAGCGCGTGTTCTTTCTGTTCCCACCTCTATAGCTTATAGCACAGAGATGGGCACATAGTAGGCTCTCAACAAATAAGGTTGGTCTGTTTTTTTTCTAACTCATAGCACATTTTTGATCTCCCCATTCCTCACCTTTATTTAATGTTGTTTTTAGGAATAGCTATCACCCCAACCCCGCAGCCTTTGAAAAGGCCTGATGGCTGCCAGCAGCAGCCAGGAGCATGCAGCAAGTTCCATAAGTCTCTCTTGATTTGAATACCGATTTCCATCCATGAAAGCCCCTTTCTCTAAGAGCTTTCTAATAATAATATTTTTTACCATACGGTAAGGGCACAGGGAAGTATTCATCTTTGGGAACTCGGCTTGCAGAACTCTTTGCAACTAAACAACATGCATGCTTTCTAAAAAGTAGTAGTTAATGAAGGGAAATAGGCTTCATACCACAGTATCCCTATGCAGCTCCACCTGGATGCTGGAGAATTAGTTACCTGCAGTCTGCCTTTGGCCAGAGGCCACTTTTCTTTAAGCCCATCTTCTTAGCTGTGGCCAGATCTGTCAAAAACCCTTTCCTGTCTCAGGACCAGATGCAAGGAATCCCATGGTAGCCATTGGAGAAAGAAGGGGAGGAAGCTAAAGTAACAGGAGGATACTTAGAGACAACTGTGTCGCTACAAGTCATGTACCAGATAGTTCTTCTAATTAAGCTGCTGTTTGGGATCGCTACAGCAACCCTATGCAGCTGCGTTCCCTGGTCAGCCACTGAGGAATCTGTGAATCACATAGTGTGCCAGACATTATGCTAAAGACACGATGCCTGCCTCTCCGTTGTTACCCTTCAGCTGGGTTGACAATACTATAACACATGACAAGGTGTTAGAGCTTAAAAAGTCTTGACTTGCCAGCAGGACAAGGCAACGGCAGGAGCAGGAGATCCTCAAGAACCTCACAAACAAATTATTCCTGAGTTCCCATTCATTCATTCTACAACGGTTTGTGCCTGCTGTGTGCCAGGTATACTGTTGGACATTCAGAATATGGTAGCAAACAAGATAGAAACTGAAAATTACAGCTCTTTGTCAACCCTACATTTGTACTACTGGCCACATAGTTTAGGCAAGTAACCAACCATTTTTATTTGAATAGCCTTCTGCAGACTCCTATTTTACATAGTGCTTGTTTCAGAATAATAATAATAATAAACAATAGAAACTAGCAGATTGGTTCAGAAGACCTAAAAGAAACTTACCTGAAGGGACAGTAGTACATTTTATAGTCACTTGTTAACAAATGGAAGAGCTCTATAGCTTTTTCAAGAAAGAATAACAGAGATTTCCAGTGGTACTCCCAGCCTGACAGCACACCTTTCCACTTTCTGGATTAGAAGATGGGATGGGAGATAGAGATGCCACCAGAGCTAAGGGTGACACTGCACACCTTCTGTGAGTGGGACTCAGAGCCTTAAGTTGATTTTAGCTGTGGTAGTCGGCCGTCTTTCTCACCCCACCCTCCTCAGAGAATTCTGTGCATTTCGAAGATAAGTTATTCACTGTGGCCATAGGTCTGGTCAATACAGATATGAGATTCCTGACCTTGGCCTTGTTAATGCCGTCTTCTAAATCACTGAACCAGCCAGAATTACCAATTGAAGATTATTGGGATAACGTAGATGGCATTTTGTGAGCAATCAACCCTGAGCTCTCAGGTTGTCTGGTGGGTACATGTTACAAAAGGAGGCATTCCATTTTGTTATTTGTTTTTGTACCCTGTCTACTTCCAAAAAGGATTGGAGATGACTTTCATGGAACATGCAGTATAAGATTCAACCATTAATTCAAAATAGCAAAAGTTAAGGAGTAAAAAATTAAAATTAAAAAAAAGGAAAGCCTTCTATTAAGAAGCTCAGATCAATTTTTCCCTGAGCTTCCTAGTTATCTGTGCTTGAAGGGAACTTGTAGGGTTATGTAACCGTCAATGTATAATAATAGTAACATATTGACATCTCAGGAGAAAGAATTTTTACTAGGCCATTGTGCTGAGAAACATCCATAGGAGTCCTTACAAAAGACACTTGAGCAATATAACAAATAATACCTTGATAACCATTTTAGGATAAAATTACACTAGTATATTACTATTTCTTATATCAGCCATTAGTGAAAATGGTAGCCTCCGTGTGGAATTAGGATAGTTTCCCATTAAAGAAGTCATTGTTCAGTTAGGGAATTAGACTATATAGTCTGGACCTGCAGCTGTGATATTTCATATGCTCTTCAAATAAAGCTTGAAGAATCCCACGTATTAAATAATATATAATAAAATTCATCTTTGTCATCTGTGTCTTATATCTAGAGCAAGTTGGTCTTTTTTTCAAAACATACCTGTATAAAATAGCCATCCTTATGCTCACTAGTGACGTAATCTATGAGTGCCTGCCCTCTAGCTGCTGCCATTGTCCTCAGCCAGGCTTTTGACAAAAGCTAGGTGACAAAAGATGAATTTTGAAGATGCTGAATGGTATATTTATGAAGGTGGGCTATAGAAGTGCCTCTAAGCAGAGCCAAAACTTTTCTCAAAAAGTAAGATTGGAGTCCCTCCGGTGGGTGAGTAAGTGCTGGGTAATGTTTAATAACGTGCTGGCGCTTGAATTTCAGGTACAGTAGTTGAGGAAAGCAATGGTTCTGATGAGATGGAGAATTCAGATGAAACAAAAATGTCAGAAGAGATACTGGCTTTGGTGGATGAATTTCAACAGGCGTGGCCTCTGGAAGGCTTTGGGGGAGCACTAGAGATGAAGGGGCGGCGTTTGGACTTGCAGGGGATACGGGTGCTGAAGAAAGGTCCCCAGGACGGAGTGGCCAGAAGCTCTTGCTATGGAGACTGCAGAAGTGAAGATGATGAAGCAACAGAATGGGTAAGAGTTTGCCCACTCAGTTCTTAGCAAACTGTAGCCCAGGTCTTTAGGGGGGATGGGAGAGGCTGCTAGTTTGCTAGTATGATGCTTCTGTTGGGTATGTGGCATTCCAGTGAGCCTCCACACTGGAATTGTACCACAGGCAGCATTTCATCCTACTTGGGTATTGCTAGCTCTTCTGAGTGGCCGAGGAAACAGGATGGATGTGAAGCCAGACTGGGAACTGCCCAGGCCGGACATCTTAATTTTCAGTTTCCTCTATACGTTCTTCAAGGCTAGGGTATTTTATTTCATTAAACATTTTTCATTTAGACCTCTAGGAATTAAACTGAAGGAGAGAACGTAACCCTAGCACAGAACTGACTGGTTATTCTTAAAACCGCCAATATCCACAACCACTCACAGATTTGTCCCTAACCACTCTCATTTGTCCCTAACATGTCTCCATTTCCCAGATCACATTCCAGGTCAAACGTGTAAAGAAACCCAAAGGAGATCACAAGAAAACTCCTGGGAAAAAGGTAGAATCGAGCCAAGCAGAAAATGTACATCGTTACCAAGCAAATCTGGAGATCACTGGCCCAAAGGTGGCATCTCCTGGCCCACAAGGTAAATTTGAAGATTTACCATGCCGGTCTCTGCTTTCAGACTTCGCTGTGTCAGTTCTCACAAAGGACGTGTTTGTGACTTGAAGTAGATCAGTGAGAAGGAAACCGGACTTAGTGACCAAGAAACCAGCCATTGGGATAAAGTTTGTTTTGACATTTACTTGATTCTTTTACCATTGGCTATTTGGCTTATGGTCTTATCATCTTGAGCTTAAATATCCTATTGATTCTCAACAGTTCAAACACCAGTTTGCCACTGAGCTCCCTGTGCCTCATTTTCCTTATCTATAAAATGGGATGATAATCGCATCTATCCTACAAGGTGGTTGTAGGGTCATATGAGTTGATACATGTAAAGTGCTTTAAATGAACTGGGCTCATAGGACTCAATAAATGTTAACTATGTAGTAACATTTTTGTGTGCCAGATATCTCTGTAAGTTTTAAATAAATGCTTTGGAACTACTCCCCAGGGAAAATGCACATACATCAAAATTTGGCATGTACTTTCAGGGTTCATTCTTATCCCCAGGTCCATCTCTGGACTCCAGGTTCAGGACCTTTGCCATGAGTCCAGTTGATTCTCTTTTTCAGCAGTGAAATAAATAGTGAGATTTCTTTTTAAAAAATCTCCTTTTTCAAAAGGATATTTTCAGTCTCTTAGACTTCAAAAATTCAAGGTAACTTCATGAAAATGTGTCTTATTTAATGTGATATGAGTACTTACCAAAGCTGAAAACAGAGTACACGTAATAAAATATAAAGAATAGGGACAGCTTCACTAAATCTCAGAATGAACTGTGACTTGTGAAAAACACTAAAGACACCAAAAGGACATTTTGTTGTGACTCAAGTTAAAAGCATGAAGTAGCTTTACTATTTAAGGAAGAGAGCATGTGTTAACAGGCTACAGAAAGAAAGCAACACCTCCTCCATTAGATCTGTCTTCTATAGCAAGGAAAAAATGTTTAAACAGTAAATCATCATTGTGGAAATGAAAATTCCAATGGATTATATAGTAAATGTAATAAAATCATAAAAGAAGAAAATGTGGATGTATATGTATATACTTCTAAGGTGGAAGAGGACTTTCCAAGGCAGAGAAAAGTAAAGAAAAAAAATAATAATTCTGGCACCAGAAAACATTACAAAATAGAAAACCAGGGGCCAGCCCAGTGGCATAGTGGTGAAGTTTGCACACTCCACTTCAGCAGCCTGGGGTTCACAGGTTTGGATCCCAGGCATAGACCTACACACCACTCATCAAGCCGTGCTATGGCGGCATCCCACATACTAAATAGAGGAAGATGGGCACAAATGTTATCTCAGGATCACTATTCCTCAAGGATAAAGAAGAAGATTAGCTGCAGATGTTAGCTCAGGGCCAATCTTCCTCACACACACAAAAAAAGAAAAAGAGAACCAAACGACTGAAACAACATATTTTTTGCAGAATATTTGTATATATTTACAGAATATATTATAAACAAAGGATATCAGTGTCATTTAAAGAACACCTCTAAATCAATATGAAAAATACAACGTTTCAATAAAATATGTGCAAAGTACTTAGGCAGTTCAACAAATACACACGCACACACGCAAATCACCACTAAACACATGAGAAAATGGTCAGCCTCACTCGCAATCAAAGAAGTGCAAGCAAACAATGAGATACCATTTTTGCTTATCGAATTCTCTTTAAATGTGTAATACACAATGAAAGTTAATAAAACAAACTTTGGGATAGTTTAACTAGATGTATCAGAAAATATAAAATATACCACCAATTCTACTTCTAGTAATTTACCCTAAGTAAATCATCTTACAAGTGCCAAAGACAGAAGTACAAAGATATTGATCGCAGGGTTGCTTATCATAGTAAAAATTTGTAAACAACCTAAATGTTGGTTGTTGTCTGAGTAAATGACAGCATGTCCATGCTGTGTGCTATGCAGTCAAGATGTTTGTAATTTAGTAAGTGAGCAAAAGCAAAAGCAGTTTATAAAGTAGCATCTATAAGCCATGCTTCAATTTTTGTAAAATAGTAAATATACTCTATTTTGGCTACATTTTGTCACATTTCATTATCCCTGAAGTTGAGATACATATTACAATTGATGGTCTCTTAAATAATAATTGGCAATTTTTTTCTTTCTTAAACCATGTAAAATAATGTATACCTCAAAGTTTATGACATCTTGGATTTGATGAAATATGCTATAATAAACAAGCACAAAGAAACAAGTATAGAAGGAAATACACCAAAATACTGTAAGTGATCATCTCTGGGTGCATATAGGGCTATAGGTGATTTTTATTTTTTTCTATGTGCTTTGACATTTTACAAATTTTTTTAATAAGGCTATATTACTTTTACAAACAAAAAACTAAAAGTTTCTTGGGCCTGCCCCTGTGGCCTAGTGGTTAAGTTCAGTGTGCTCCACTTCGGCAGCCCAGGTTCAATTCCTATGTGTGGACCTACTCCACTCTCCAGAGGCCATGCTGTAGTGGCAGCTCACAAAAAAAAAAAATAAGAGGAAGTTCAGCAACAGATGTTAACTCAGGGCAAATCTTCCTCAGCAAAAAAAAAAAAAAAAAACCCTAACAATTTCTTGTAAATGTGAAAATTCAAGTTTGATACAGTTGAGATGATATGAGAGTACTTCAGCAGTTTTAAATGGATTCAAGGAGGTGGACCCAGGTATGGCATTGAATATACTTGCAAATGCGATCATGGCACTACTTACTGTCGTTAAACTGAAAAGTTCTAAAGTGTAGAAGAGATGAGAGAAGACTAAAGAGGTTCAGTATCCCAATTTTCAGATAAATATGGATTCTATCCACTATCAAGGGATAAGCTGCATGATAAATCCTGACAAAGTTCTAAAGCAAATTATTAAACAGATAGTTTGTGAGACCATGACGGGAAAGTGGAGACCGTTAAGGGCTATTGTAGATTTACTAAGAACTGATAAAACATAATGCTTCACTAATTTCATTTCCTTTTTTGGCGAGGGCTACTAGACGGGAAGACCATGGAAGTGCCATGGATATAATATATTATGTACCTGGATTTCAGCAAGGCATTTAACAGAGCCTCTTATGATATCCTTGTGAACAAGATGGAGGCATGTGGGCTCAAAGACTCTCCACTGCCTGCAGGATAAAGTCCAAACTTCCTAGCGTGGTGTACAAAACCCTTTACAGCCCAGGCCCTCTCTACCCTTCAGCACCATTCTCTGAACCAGCCACGCTCTGATTTTTACCTCTGTGCCTTTGCACATGCTATACCCTCTGCTGGAATGCCCTTATGCCACCTCAGTGGTGCAAAATTATCACTCAAACTTCACACTCAAGTGCCGTCTCTCCCTTGGTACCTTCAGGCAGAATTAGTTGCTCTCTCCTGTGCAGTTTTCTGTGCCTACACTCTGGCACTTATCGTGTTGTATTGTAATGATTTGCTTACCTCCCTCACTAGACTCTGAGCTCAAGAGCAGGTCCCTTATGATTCCTCTCTGTACCCTGAGTGTCTTACACAGTTCCCAGCCCCCCTTTATAGATGCCCCATCAGTATTTTTCAAGTGAATTTCTTGAATATAAAAGAAAAATAAGCTTTATTGTGAAACTTAGGATTTAAATTCTTTAAGGTATTAATTTAAACAGAGTTAGTTTGAAACTCTTCCAAACTGCTGCTTTCTATTATATTAAACTCTAAATCTAACCCCTGCCTGTACCTCAAACAGCCGTTATTGTTGGTCAGTTCCTACAGTATAAAAAGCACTAGACAGAATCCAAGTTCTCCTTCCTGTCCATTCGACTGTAATTCCTTCCAAAGAACTCTTCCCAGGCAAGGCTTGGCTCTGCTCTTTCCTTGGGGACCTGGTCTAACTAAAGAGCCTGCACCCAAGAGGGGAGACCTGCGGAGGGCATTGATACACAGCTTTAGTAGCCCTTCAGAGCTTTAAGTGGCATGGTGGTTGGCAGCGTGCATGTTAGAGTCAGACAGACCCAGATCTGGATCCCAGCTCTGCCCGACAAGCCAGGTAACCTTGGGCAAGTCACTTGATCTCTCTGAGCCTCCATTTCCTCACTGAGAAGTGAGGACTAAAACCTGCCTCTTGGGGTCAGGGATGTAAAGTGCCTAGCACAGGACCTGAACACACAGGAAGTCAGCCTCTCGTTGTCATCCTTATTCCCCACCCCCCTGCTCTTCCTGACAGCAGTGGCTCTCTACCAGGGATTTTGCCCTCCTGGGGGACATATGGCAGTATCTGGAGACATTTTTGATTGTCGCATCTCAGGGAGGGTGCTGCTGGCATCTGGTGGGTAGAGGCCAGGGATGCTGCTAAACATCCTCCACTGCACAGGACAGCCCCACAACAAAGCATTATCCAGCCTACAGCATCCAGGTTGAGAAATCCTGCTTTAAAGATACGTGTTTCTCCTGAATAAGTTAGAGGTGTTTTTATAAAATCAAAATGTAGAGGGGTAAAAATTAAGTTTGGTAAGAATGTTAACATTGAAGAATATCTTAACCTTTATCTCGTGTTGATCAGTCTTAAATGCAGTGAAGGACTCACTTATTTCTACTTCATCATCTTTGAGAATAAGGCTTTACTCAAAGATGATCCTTGTTTCCATTGCTGTGAATGACAAGATTGTAATTAATCCTAGATGTTAGGAATTCTAAAGAGTAGAGCAATGGCTGGTGCCTTCAAATACACAGTCTGGATGAAGTAATCACCAGGGCATAAGATACTATGGGTTCTGTTCCTTTGCCAGTGTGTTGACTGATGATGTACATGCTTTCCTTCCAGGAAAAAAGCGTGACTACCAGAGTCTGGGCTGGCCCAGCCCAGACGAGTGCGTCAAACTCCGCTGGGTAGAGCTGACTGCCATCGTGAGTACCTGGCTTGCAGTTTCTTCAAAGAACATTGAGTGAGTATCTTACACCTCTCCCTCCTTCGTGGCATTTGTGCACCAGTGATCCAGTGGGCCTCAGCCAACTTCAGGGATGCCCTTCTTTGTCAGCAGCTATTAGAAGAGTCATCCATTCTAGGGCTGGTGGTTCAGAGGATGTCCATTGCTGACCACAGCCCACAGATGTATGCAGCCCATCATGCTGAACAGTCCATGAGCCCCCCTTCTCAGGGCCTTCACTGAGCCACACTTTGTAAGCTATCCAGAAGTCATGGGTAACTTACTTAGTTTGCATTGAAGATTGGATCCCTCTTTATAGAAGCACAAAACCTGTGGTCTCTCACTGACATTGTGTCGTTGAAAAAGGAGCCAGAGCAAATCCAGATTTACAAACACCTGCCAAGACAAGCTGAGCAAACCTGCCTCTCTGGTAAATCTTTTTCCTCTCTGGACACTCATTCTCTTTTGCTGGCCCCTTTTCTACCCTTGTAAGTGTCGGAATCCCCAAGATTTACCACCAAGCCTTCTTATTTTATAATCACTCCTGGCCAGACTGACTCCCAGAACTCCTGTCACCACTGACATATTAACAGCTCCCAAAAAGGGATCTGCAGACTCGTCCTTTCTTCAGATCCTTCAACCCTTCTGTCCAGTTATCTACCTGGCCTCTCTGCCTGGATAGCTCTCAGGCACCCCAAGCCCAAGAAAACTAACTCATAATTTTCTTGCCCACTTTCCTTCCAAAAGACCATCTGTTTTGTTTGTCTTTCCATTTCTCACTCTTAGTAAATAGTTGAACAATGCTTAGTCTGGAAACCTGGGAGTCATCCTTCACCATCCCTCTCCCGTAACCTCAAATCCAGTCTTTACCAATTCTTACCACTCTCACCCCCGAGTCTTTTTCAAAATCGTCAGCTTTTCGCCATCTCCATGCTGCCTCCTTAAGCCAGATCACCAGCATCTCCACTTAGATTCATTCAGTAGGCTCCTTGCTGGTCCTCTTGCTTTGTTCACTCTTGCCTCTATTTAATCCATTCTCTCCACGGTACTCGGAATCCTTCCTCAAATATAAACCAGATAATTCTTAAAATGCTCTGGTAACTTCATGTTGCTCTTTACAGTGGCCCACAAAGGCCTTCGCGATCTGATCCTGCCTGTCTTTCCATCTTCAGCTCTGCCCTTTCTCCCATCAGGGCCTTCACACGTGGTGTCTCCTTTGCCTGTGGCGGTGTTCCCACCGCCTTCTTCCTACCTGGCTAATTCACACCCATCCTTCTGGCCTCACCTTAAATCTTACTTCCTCAGGAAATCCTTCATTTACCACCTTCCTCCTCCTTCAGAGTAAAGGAAATGTATGTCCTCCTGTAGTGGACTGACGTTGTTCCATGTTTTTCTCTCTTAAAACTTGTCTCATCTGTAATATTTGAGTCACTCACAAGACTCTGAGCACTATAACAGCAGGAACTGGGTGTGTTATGTTAATCCTTTAGCCCTGGTATCTGACATGTAGTAGGCTTTCAGTAAATAATGCATGAATGAATGTTTGCCTAATATACATTCAACTTTTTAAATAGCTAGAAATAAAATTTGGCAGTGGCAATTTGCCATATCAGTATATATTTGAGCATATAACATTTAGCCTGTGTATAGCAGGAAAACGACCACTTTGGGACCATGAAGGAAAGTACTTACACCTTATATGAAGATACAAGGAATAGCTGTCTCTGCACAAAGTTTACTGTCTAAACTTTAGGTAACTTCTTCTGTGGGGACAAATGTGCTTCTGTGCATAAAGGAAAATAAAAGATAAGGGCCGCTTGTGGGTGTTTATCACTATCTGTACCCTGGAAAAAGACATCCTAGAAGAAAATCCACTGATTTAAAACCTCCCCAGTAAGAAAAAATGGTCAGCAGCAGTGAGCAAATCAGGTGCTGTGGTGCGTAGAAAGGAGGCAGCTTGAGTAGATTGGGAAGATCGCTGAGTTCGGGACTCAGGTCCCAACACTGCTGCTTTGACCTGGGGGATGACCTCTCTTCATCCCTTCCACAAATGGTCACTGCTGGGCGCTGGAGTCCTTGCACCTGTATCATGAGAGACCAGACTAAGTAACTCCTGAGGTCTCTTCCAGTCTGAGACTCTGTGGCTCCAGACAACCCTAATAACATATTGAAGTCATGATCAGCTGATGACTAATACTCTTTCTGTCCCCCGACTCAAATCTTCCTTGGTTAATGTGGTAATCTCCATTTTTCAGCATCACAGAACACATAGACTTTGCCACTCCAATACAGCAGCCAGCCATGGAGCCCCTTTGCAATGGCAATCTCCCCACAAGCATGCACACCCTGGACCACTTGCATGGGGTTTCCAACCGAGCCAGCCTACACTACACGGGCGAGAGTCAGCTAACAGAGGTGAGTGCTCAGCTTTCTTCAGCTGGTCTGTCGTGTTTAGCCCACGGTTATGATCCACTGATAGCAGAGAGCACGGTGGCCAGGCCATCTTTTTTTGCCTTTTATTGAGTGGCTGTCATCTAGGTGGCTTTAGGCCATGCCTGATTTCTTTCAGGCTCTAGGACTGAGCTTATGCTGTTTTTTATAGCCAGGAAATTTTCATTCTGGTTCATTCCTCGAGGTGGGTAGCATTCTGCTTGCCATCACACAGAGGCTCTTGTAAGAAATATTTGGGGCAGTTAATTCTCCTGTTGGCATCCTTAAGAAGGAAAGAAGACTCAGCATATAGCTAGAAAAGAAGACACCAAGAAGTAGTATTGGAAAAACACGCCACAAATGTCCAAGAAGAGAAGATTTGTTCAATAACTGTTGGTATAGATATAAGATAGTATACAGTGAGGTCATTAAGAAAGATGTAGTAGAGATATTTATTGGCATGAAGAAATTTTCAGAATATATTATGTGAAAATGTGAGTGACAGTATATAGTATGATCCCATATTCTGCGAGAGAAATAATATGTGTGTACATAGAAAAATATCTGAAAGATAAATATAAAGGTATTAACAGTGGTTGTATCTGGGTGACAGGATTACTGATAGTTTTCATTTTCTTCCTTCACTCTAATTTCTAAGGTTGTTGTAATGAATGTGTTTCACCTGTCTGTAATTTCTGCTAAGTGGGAGGGGACTGAAGGGATGGTATAATGGCCTTAAACGTGTCTTCCACAAAATGCCTCACCAACGGGACCCCAGCATGTCCCCAGACAAACCATTTGCTGTTGTGGTGCGGTGCCCAGCTCAGCATCAGCAGTGCCATCTAGATCCTGCCTCATTTCATTCTCTAACCTACCGTCTTCCTCCTTTACCAGGTATTGCAAAACCTTGGCAAAGACCAATATCCACAACAGTCCCTTGAACAGATTGGCACCCGAATTGCCAAAGTTTTGGAAAAGGTAAGTCATCCTGTAGGAAAGCTGGAAACTATTGCCCACCTTCTAACTTTTCCAGAGTATTTGCCGCTAAGTGGCTCTGATCTCTCCTGTTAGTTCCCTGGCACTAGTAACTGAAAGGATAGCGTGAAATAACCCCATGCAGAATGTTTCGATCACTTTTCCGTTACTTTTTCCATCACTTAGTGAGTATTCTTTTTTGCTGCTTTGCTTACCTTCTGTGGTGAAACTTACCTTGTCGGTTTCCCTTCTTTACTCCAGCATGGTGAGTATATGGGGGTGGTGGGGCTGCGAACCGTTGACTCTGTGTGTATGAAACAAGTCAGGCGTTCTTCTGGTGGTGAAGAATATCTGGTATTTCAGATTGTGTATGGAAACACATCTTTAAATATCTTTTTCTCTTGAAATCATGAAACACAATTATTTCTAAAACTGCATTTTCATACAGCCTACAGAAAATATAACTGAGAGTCTCTAAGACTACTCATCTGCCTGTTTGTGATAGTTATGTAAGAGGAGCTTTCTTTAAATTAAAATTAATTACTTTATGGTTAAATGTCTCTCTATTACTATTTAATATTGAAGAGGTAATATGATAACATAGTGATTAAGAGAATCAACTCAACTTCTAGCCTGGCTCCTGCCTGTCTCTATCCCTTTTAGTTCAAACTTGCACAGCTCTTTTAACTTTGCTGCCTGTCAAATTATAAGCCAGTCTATCAGACAGAAGCCACACCCACATGGCTTTTCGAGAAGGCCCCTGTCCACCTTGAATATGAGTCTGGGCAACACCCTTAAGATTGTTAGATACCTTTTGTCTGAAAGAGTCTAGGAGGCTTAAATCTAGACTTAAAACTCTCTGCAGTGGGAGTAACAAAGGGCCCTACTGCCATGCTCTTGATTTGACCTTGACCCTGAGGCCACAGTTTTACTGGCAGCACCCTGGATTTGATTTTTTTCCCTTTAACTTCAAAACCTTGTACTGACTGGAGAAGCTAATTGGCAATTGAGAAAGTTTCATTTTCTAACCCTGTAAGTCCCAATTTTGAAAGCATTTTCTCTAAGTTCTGCTTGAAGACTGCACCCTTCCTTGTTTAGTTCTCTTTCTATTAATACCTTATTATAGTTGATTTTTAAAGAACCATTTGTCACTTTCAGCATTCTTCCCAGAAATCTTCCTAGTCAGACCCACAACTTTGTTCGGTATTTTTTCTATATTCCAAGATACAGCCTCACCGTTTGTTTTGCCTATAGATAACAACACTTCTTCTCCAGCCTGCAACAGCGATTCTCCCAGTGTTCTTAGAGCCTCCATTAGTAGTCTCATTGCTACTCTTTCAGCAAATGTCCACGACCCATTCCCAAAGTGAATGCCACATGTTTTAAGTTTCTCTTATGATGGCACTCCAGTCTTGATACCAAATACTAATTCAGTTATCTATTTCTGCCTAACAAACCACCCCAAAATTTACTGGCTTAAAACAAAAGTACTCTTTGCTCAAGATTCTGCAGTCTCAGTTGGACTCAGCTGGGCATTTCCTCTAGTCTCACCTGGAGTCATTCATGCAGCTGCAGACACGTGGAGACTCACCTGGGGCTGGCCACCAAAGAAGGCTTTACTCAGATGTCTGGTGCCTCAGCCGGAGTGGCTGGAATGGCTGGGGCACCGCCAGGAATCTTTTCTCTCCTTGTAGTCTCTCCAGCAGGGTAGCGGGACCTTTTTACATGGTGGCTCAGGGCTCCATGAGGGTGGAAGCAGAAGCGTCCAGGCCTCTTCGAGCCTCTGCGTGTTGCTGGAGCAGCACCACTTCTGTGCCGGCACGCGCCAGGGCCTGCTCAAGGTCAAGGGCAGGGGAGTGTCCTCGCTCTGCTGGTAGGACAAAGAATGTGTGGCCCATCTTTAACCCACCACGGTTCCCTTCAAAAGAGCAGTGAGACTGCCAGCTTCTCAACAGAAATAATGGAAACCAGAAACCAATGTAATGACATCTTTAAAGCTGGAAGAAGAAAACTGCAAGCCTAGAATTCCACGCCAGCACAAATATCCTTCCAGTGTTAAGGTGAAATAAGGATGTGCTCAAACGAACAAAAATTCAGAGGATTTGGCATCAGGAGGCCTGCACTGAGATAATTAAAGGGAGTTCTTCAGGAAATTCGTCCAAGATAGAAAGATGGCCATGCAAGAGGGAATGACGAGCAGCAGAAAGAAGAATGTAAGGGAATAGTAACTGTACAAAGTAATAACTCCAGTGCCCTGAGGAGCTGCGGTTTTATATATAAACTAAAAATCATGGTAACAATAACATAAATGATGGAAGGGAAGTAAATGGAGCTTAAAAGTCCTAAGGTTTAATTGGGATCAGCCAAGTGCTAAAAGTAATAACTTGCATTGGGCTGTAATAAGTAAGAATGCATGTTTTAAGCTCTAGGCTAACTACTAAAAATGGTTTTAAAAATATAATTCAATAGAAGGAAAATGGAATAATGTAAAACATTTGATTAATCCCAACAAAGTCAGGAAAGTTAAAGGCATAAAATAGAACACAAATAGTAAAATAGTAAATATAGACCCAAGTGTATCAGTAGTTAAATACAAAAAGATTATATAATTTAAGCATTTAGAATGGAATGGATTTTTTTTAATCTAACTATATGCTGCTTATAAGAGAAACACTTTAAATATTAGGGTACCAGAAGGGTTGAAAGTACAAAGATGGAAAATAATATACCATGCAAACAATTTCTTTTTTAAAAGCTGATATAGCTACACTCTTATCAGAAGAAATAAACTTTGAAGCAAGAAGCGTGACTAGAGTTTGAAGGACTAAAATGAAAAAGATTGAGAATGACAGATATCGGCGATGATACAGAGCAACCAGAATGCTCATACATTGCTAATGGGAGTGTTACATGGTCCGGGCAGTTTGGAAAACAGCTTGATAGTCTATTAAGGAGTTCAGCTTATATGACCCAGTAGTTTTACTGTTAGGTATTTATCAAAGAGATGTGAAAAACCGAAGTCCACAAAGTAATTGTTAAAAAAGTGTTCACAGCAGATTAATTCTCATGGTCAAAACACCTGGTAACAGAAGAATGGATAAATAATGGTATATTTATACAGTGGATACTATTCAGCAAGAAAGATCCAACATCCATATTGATGAAATCTCAAAAAATATTATGCTAACAAAAGAAGTTGGACCAAAAAAGTCTGTAGTGTGTGATCCCAACTATATGAAATTCTAGAACAGGCAGTGGGGGAAGGGATTGACTGGGAAGCAGCTCGAAAGGACTTTCTGGAGTGTTGGAAATTTTCTATGTCTGTAAGTAATAGTCAAAACTGAACATTACACTTAAGATCTGAACATTTCTCTCTATATAAATTTTACTTCAGTTTTTTTAAATGAAGTTTAAAGATTTTAGACCACCAAAAACAAAGATGTATGTTACCAAGAGATTTGCACTAGAAATCAATAAAGGGGTTTTTTTCAGACAGAAGGAAAACTATCCCAGATGGAAACTCAGAAACACGGGAGCGAACAAAGAGCAGCAGAAAGGGTAAATATGAGAGTAAATATAAATGAGTATGACTATACAAAATAATAACAATAGTGTCGAAATTCTGAAGTTAAAATTCATGACGACGGTAAATGCAGAAGGCAGAAGGGAGTTGCATTGAGCACTGTCAACAGTCTTCGGCCCGGCAGACGTTTCACACTCTGCCATCAGCCCCACGGGCATGGGCTGTACTGAAGGATGGGGGCGAGGGAACAGCAGCAGGTGTGTGCCTCCAGTGACCCTCCCATAGTCAGGGACCCTTCTCTGCCCACCTGCCTTTCCTGCCAAGTGACAATTCAGTACAAAGGAACAAGTCAAATGATCATTGTGGGAAGTACCCTGGCTTAGGTGCCCCGAGTTCCACATAAGAACCATTATCGTTTGTAATAGCTCCATGGGCCTAACGTCCTGGAAAGGGACATGGCTACAAGAACCATGGCACTTGGAAGCTCAGAACTGTGACTTTCCACGAGGTGTTTATAATATATTTCCAGTCCCACCAGTCCAGATCGTTTACCAACCAGGGTCATTTTTGCTATAAGCTGTCTTGCCTGCTAACAGCTAACATTCCTCCTTTATTAGTTTTCAGGTGAATAAGCTAGAAGGTTAATCCAGTATCAGTTTCCATTGTGGACTCACAGACCGACCTCCATGACCGTGTGCTAACTTTAGTGCCATGATTCGCAGACTTCTGGGAACACCAGAATCACCTGGAGGGCTTGTCAAAGCCTAGATTGCTGGGCTTCCAAGATTCAGCATCCTGATTTAGTAGGACTAGGGTCAAGCTTGAGAATTTACATTTCTAATAAGTTCCTGGGTGATACTGCGAGTGTGAAGACCACACTTTGAAACCACTGCCTTAGAAGATGGCAGTGATGACAGAGCAGAGGTGTCCCTTTCCCCTTTACCATTCAGAGAGAACGAGGATCTCCATATCCTCTCGGCTTCAACTTTTAAAATACTCAGCTATCCTTCATTAATTTCTTCAGAAGCCCATCTGTAGTTGTGTCCTTAGGGAGTTTTTAGTTTGCATTGCCATAAATCATCACTAAGTGTCAGCAGATGCCATTGGTCAGCCTTCATTTTACGGTTTAGTAAGCATGCACTATCAGAACCCTCAGAAGACTGCCCAGGCTGCTGCTGAGGTCACTCATCACACGTGATGCTCAGAAGCCTCTGAAAGGTCTCCCCCATGACCCCAGATGTGCACCACGCAGCTGCTATTGCCACTGCAGCCGGTGTGTATGCCAGGTTGCCACGTTTGACCTTGTGGGCTGGTGCAGAGTGGTTCTCCCACTTCCCCAGCTGGGGGCTCCTGGGCACTACTCTGTGCTAATTGGATATGCGGCCAGCCCAGGTTGGGTCAGAGCTGATCAGCTGCCCCACCCCCTTGTCCAATCCAGCCACAGTCACAAACATGGAGTCTCAAGCGCGTGTGCTTGTCTCCTCCCACCCTCAGTCGGGCATCAGTGTCTAGTTTGGCCCAAATGCATCAGCTGCACCGAAGCAACATCATTCTTGCCAGCCAGCCCACTTGCAGCTGGGTTTCTGGTCAGTTCCATTTCATGGACAGCAGGGAGGAGTGGGCAGTTTCTTTCAGCATAATTTGCCTCCAGCTTTCATCCATTCCCACAAGGAGAAGATCCTGTCCCCTGTCACACATGGTCAAGCTTTTGCCATCAGACTCCGGGAAAGTTGGCCCCCACTGAGGCTTCAGTCTCATCAGCACCTCCCTCTCCACTCCTTTTATGTCGTAGCACCTTGACCATATTGAACCAAGGATATGAAAGTCCGTCCACTGCTGCCACTGCTCTGCAGTGCCCACTGCCAGTCGTTCAGGGCCAGCCAGGTCCTATGTCATACTCATGACTAGTAGGGCACTTGTGGTCTTGCTTTCACTCAGGAGGATATAGAACAGGAAACACAGCAAGCCAGCAGTGCAGCTTTTCATGTTTTTCCAAGAGTCCCCATTGCTGTCTGGCAGCAGTCCCGGGAACTATTCTCCGCCCCTCCCCCAAAGTAACAGTCCAGGGATGAGGGATCAAGACCAGATGGGTGAGTGTGGGAACAACCCTGGCTTACAAGTCTCAAGTTCCATAGGAACGAACATCTCTTACAGCAGTCCCATGGGCCTGGAGTCCAAGAGTTCCAACCAAGGACAAGAAACACGCACTCGGGAAAGCTCAGAGCTGTGGCTTTCTGCTGGTCGTCCCAGTCCTCCCAGGCCACTTGCAGTTTACAGCCAGGTCATCTTCACTGTAAGCATTTTTCCTAGTAACGTGGGTGACGTTCTACCTTTACTCAGCTTTCAGAGGAACACAGCTAAAAAGTTAACAGGTGATTAATTTCCCATGAATACACATGGGCAAAGTGTTAGGTTTTAGCATTATTGGGAAAATAATAAAATGAAAGTAATAATTTATGTTTTTAGTCTGTAATAATTGAAAGGTGCATGTTGTAATTTCTAGGCCAATCACTAAAAGAACAATTAGAGAATGTAATAATTAAGGAAAAATGGAATTAAAAAAGCATTTGATTCAAAAAAAAAGCTTGAAAGGAGGACAAAAAGAATGTAAAACAAATGGTGAAAAAGAATGCAAATAGTAAGATGAGATGATAGACATAAACACAATCTATCGGGAATCACAATAAATATAAAAGGACCAAGTACTCCAATTAGACTACTAACACTATCAGACTGGGTTAAAATATTGAACCCAATTATGTGCTTTTTACAAGTAACATACTTTAATGTAAGATATAAAACAGTTGAAATTAAACAGATGGAAACAAGATATATCATGTGAACACTAACCAAAAGAAAGCTAGTGTAACTATACTAATATCACACAATGTGGAATTTAAGGCAAGAACATTACTACAGATAAAGATGAATAATTCGTAATGACAAAGTGGTCAGTCCACCAGGAATATGGAAAATTGTAAATATATATGTACCAATAGCATAGTTTCAAATTATAGGACAAGCATTAAACATTGACAGATCTAAAAAGAGCAGTAAATAAATCCACAATAGACTTTAACATACCTCTCAATAGATAGTAGAATTAAGCAGATAAAAAATAAGTAAAAATATAGTACATCTTGCTAAAAAACAAATTTGACCTGATATTTATATAATGCTGCATTAAACTGACAAAATTTTCATTTTAAAAATTGAATATGGGCCATTTACCAAATTTATCATAAGCTGAGTCATAAATTAAGCCTCAATTAAATTTTAGAACGCTGAAACAATTTAGAGTATATTTTCTGAATTTACTCTGGAATTAAGTTAAAAAAAAGATCAGGGACAAAAGGATAGATAGAAAATCCCCAACTATTTTGGTGACATTAAGCAGTGCACCTCTAAACAACCCAGGGTCAGTGAAGAAAGCACAAGCACAATTAGAAAATATTTTGAAATGAATGATAAAGATATAGCATATCAAAACTTGTGGGATACAGCTAAAGCAATGCTTGAGGGAAGTTTATAGCCCTAAATAGATATATTAGTTAAAAAAAAGGAAAACCTGAAAATCAATGATCTATGCTTCTATGTCAAAAAGCTAGAAAAAGAACAAATCAAAACCACACTGAGATATTTCATGCCAGTCACGTTGACAAAAATCCAGAAGTTTGATAGACTCATGAGGCTGGGGGGAAACTGACACTGTTATACATTGCTGGTAGAAATGCAAAATGGGATAACCTCTATGGAGAGGAAATTGACTATATCTAGCAAAATTATACATTCATTTACCCATTTAGCTAGCAGTCCTACTTTTGGCAATCTTTCCTAAAAATACACTGGTAAAAAATACCTAATGAATAAAGGCTATTGATTGTAGCCTGACCTGTGATAGCAGACTGGAAACAACCCAAGTGCCCAGCAGTAGGGGAGTGATTGAATAAAAAGTTCTCTGTGGATGTTCATTGTGTGTGAATGTCCACACAGTGGAGGCTTCTGTAGCTGTCAAAGAGAATGAGGACCATTTCTGTAAACTTCTGTGGAGTGGTCTCCAGGATTAGCCAATGGAGAAAAACATTGTCTTAGATTGCTATTTATCGTTTTTTAAAATGGCAAAGGAGGGATATATAGAGAGAGAAACGCATATTTAAAAATGGAAGACTAAATTTTAAAAATATTTGTAAGTGGTTTCCCATAGAGGGAAGAAGGAATTGGGATAGAAAAGACAGAGAGTGAAGCTAGATTGCCTTGAATCTATATTGGTTTTTCATTTTGACTTTGGAACCAAATAAATATTTTGCATAATTACAAAAAAATAATTTTAATAAGGCAATTACATAATTAAAAGTAAAATTAAATGAGCCTAACTATATGTTCAGTTGGTGATATAACCACGTCAAGAGGAACTATTCCAAGTGACTTTAAAACACAATTATTTGACCGTACTTCCCTAACGGGTTTTACCTTAAGAACAAGAGAAAACCACATACTGTTTTCAGTAATATTGTTGTTAATAATATTGACATTGTTCTTCCAAGATTGTAGGTGTGTGTATTGTGAAACAAATGAGTAATTTTGTTGGTGATGTTGAGAACTGGAATTTGGAATATGGGTGAAAGGACAGAGATGTGAGGATGATGATGTTAAGTAAATATCTGTAGTCCTGAATTGGAAATATTAGTAAGAATTTCTCATGCATTTACACATTTCCTAGCTTTATTTGCTGAAAAGACTAGAATCAGTGACTAGCCCAGTACTAGTAAGCACCCTTTGTGCCCAGATTGTGATCTTTAGATACCGTTTTCCACTAAAAGGAACCAGAATTCCTTGGAAAAATGGCTTCTACCAAGTCTCGGAAAGCACAGAAGCTCCCAGAGTCGACAGAGGTTGTGTGAAAAGAACTCGGAACCAACTGGAATACACCTCCTTTGGCCAAGATGGGACAATTTGAGCAAGAAAAAGCAACAAAGCAATTGCAAAGGGTGAAACACATCACATATTAAACTGTATTTAACCCCCAAATTCACTATGAGGATTTTGTCTTGGAGGATGCGTGGGAATGGCTTGGGTTTTTTTTTTTTCTTTTTTTGCTAAGGAAGATTCAAGCTGAGCTGAACATCTGTTGCCAGTCCTCCTCCTCTTGCTTGAAGAAGATTCATTCTGAGCTAACATCTGTGCCAGTCTTCTTCTATTTTGTACATGGGTTGCTGCCACAACATGGCCGCTGGCAAGTGGTATAGGTCCACGCCTGGAAACAGAACCTGGGCCATGGAAGCAGAACATGCTGAACTTAACCACTAGGCCACGGGGCTGGCCCCAGTGGCTTGATTTTTAAACTGTAAAAAATAAGAAGGTAACAAGCATGTATCCTTCCTTTGTAAATGTACTGTCCTTTGGGGTAAACAATTAATTGATGAGGGAAAGTCTCTTTATAGGAATATTCCAACTAGTAAACTAGAAATGATAAAATTAGAATATTACAGGGTTTTGTTTTGTTTTGTTTTGAGGAAGATTAGCCCTGCTGCCAATCCTCCTCTTTTTTGCTGAGGAAGACTGGCCCTGAGCTAACACCCGCGCCCATCTTCCTCTACTTTATATGTGGGACGCCTGCCATAGCATGGCTTAACAAGCGGTGCTTAGGTCCACACCCAGGATCCAAAACAGCAAACCCTGGGCCACCGAAGCAGAACGTGCGAGCTTAACTGCTGCACCCCTGGTCCAGCCCCTAGAATATTACAGTTTTGCAGCCCCTAATTAATTCATTGCCGTGATCATCACTGGCTGCTAACATCACAGACAGAAGGACACTCAGACAGTGCCTGTGTACTGTTGGGAGTTCACATGCCACCTATGAAATTGTGTTGCTCCCACCCCTCCCCAATAAGTCAAACCTGAATCCACTCAAGCCTCTAACTACCAACTTATGGGAAATGCAGGGGACTGAGGAGCATGTTGAATGATTCCTTGAGGATGCAATCAGCAGAGTCCAGTGCATGGAAAACTACAGGATAAATAACCTCTACAAAAATTTAAAAAATTAGATGAAGATGAATTCTGGAGATCAAAAGAGACTTAAGGAACACATGAACCAGTTGCAACATATGGTCTTTATTTAGATTATGATTCAAACTGTAAAAGCAAAGGGAACTTTTATGAGACAGTTGGGAGATAGGAATACCAGCTGAATACTTGATGATATTAAAAAATAATTGTCAATATTTTAGGCAAAATGTATTAAGCTTATGTTTTATGTGTGAGTTTTTATCTCTTAGAGAGATACATTGGAAAGTTACTGGCGAAATTATATAAAGTCTGCGATTTGCTTCAAATTAACATAGATGAGGGTGTATGAAACAAGATTGGCCATGAGTTGGTAAATGTTGAAGCTGGGTGATGGACACGTAGGAGTTCATTATACTGTTGTCTTTATTTTTGTATATATTTGAGATTTTTTATTATAAAACATTTTAAAAATGTAATCTCAAAGGTGAGCAAACATATAGCCTATCAGAAAGGAATAGCTAAATTAAAAAAACAAATTGACACACCTTAAACTAAAAATATATTTAATTGTTTAAGTCAAATACTCTGTGGATGAGTTAGACACAAATAACTAGTGAATTGCAAGCTCTGTGTAAAAAGTTACCTGGAATATTACAGTGACAAGGAGATGAGTGAATCAGGAGGTTCAGGAAGTACCATGTATCCCACACTGGATAAATAAACAGAAATCCATGTCTCCCTATGTTATGGTCAAACAGCCAAGACAAAGATCTCTGAAAAGCATCTGTTTCAGTCAAGGCACTGTCGGGAAAACAGAAGGGACATTAGGTATTTCAGAAGAGCAAATTTAATTTGGAGTTGATGGCATTGTGGTGGAGGGCTGAAGAAGAAACATGGAGACACTGAGGGAAACCAGAGATACCACTGCAGCGAGTGGCTCCCACTCCTAGGGATGAAAGAAGAAGGCAACCAATTGGCGTTTTCAAAATCTAGGTCTTCACAGGAGGAGCTCTGGGGAGCTGGAGCCCCTCCTTATGAAGAGGGAGCACTGCCTGGCTGCTGAAGGGATGCAGTGAAGTGGCTTTTGGACTGCTGGAGGCAAAGTGTTACTACTAGGATGACACTGACAAGAGCAGCATGCAAACAGGAAGAACAAAGTCCCTTCTCCTTCTTGCCTTCCAATCTCCTGGTGCACACGTTTGCAGAACCTAACAGGAAGCCTGCTAGCAAAGGGGAAATAGAGTTTGCAGAGTTCCGGCCATAGTATCACAGAGCAGATACAGAATTTTGGATTTGCACTTGAGAGACGATAGCTTAATAAATATCACAGCAGCCATTCATTCAACAAATATATAGTAAAGGCCTACCATGTGGCAAATATGTTTTAAGTGTGTGGGATAAACCAGTGGAGAAGAATGTAGACAAAGATCTCTGCCCTCGTGGAGACAGGAAGGAGAGATCACCTACAGAGGAATGATGGCTACAATGACAGCCTGTTCCCCAGCACAGCTGTCAAAGCCAGCTGAAAGGGTTCTGGAGAATCCTAGAACTGTGTACCCTAAGGAGGGAAGAATAAAGGCATTTAAAGAGAAAGAGCTGGAAAAAGTTTACTACCAAGAGTTCCTCCTTAAAGGAACTTTGCTATAATATGGCCACAGGAGGATTGTCTTTGACAAAAGAAGACTTGCTAAGCAAATAAAATGATAAACAGGTATACAAACCCAAACACGTTGTCTGTAGAAAACAGTAATTTGTGGAATTTTAAAAGAAATGTGTACGGGGCTGGCCCCATGGCCGAGTGGTTAAGTTCGCGCACTCCGCTGCAGGCAGCCCAGTGTTTCGTTGGTTGGAATCCTGGGCGCAGACATGGCACTGCTCATCAAACCACGCTGAGGCAGCGTCCCACATGCCACAACTAGAAGGACCCACAACGAAGAATATACAACTATGTACCGGGGGGCTTTGGGGAGGAAAAGGAAAAAAATAAAATCTTTAAAAAAAAAAAGAAATGTGTACAAAATAGAATGTACATTTGAGAGCGAGATGATGAGCGTTTAGGTGTTCAAAGGCTCTTTACGGCTCAGGAGGACGGAGTTAATATGTTACTTAGACTTTAAGTTAAATACTGAGTGAGAATTTGAGGGCAACCGTTAAACAAATGCACAAATCCCAAACTTGTGAGGATAAAGTAGTGAAGTAAGACGGGGAGGACAGAATAAAAATGTCAATCCAAGAAAAGGCAAAAAAGGTAAAATTAGTCAAGAAAAAAGAAAGCACAAATAACCAATAGTGGGGGAAAAAAGGAAAACAAAACCACAGCTATATCAGGCTAAAGAGATAAGAAAAGGATCCGATTAACAACTTTATGCCAATAAATTTGAAAACAGATAAAGAAGACAAATTTCTAGAAAAATGTAATTTACCCAAACTGATTCGGGTCTTATAGCTAGCTCTCAAATAAATTGAAGCTGTTGGTTGAAAAAAAAGGTCTTCTCACGAAGAATACAAGGTCTGTTGATTTCACAGGTGAATTCTACCAAACTTTTGAGAAATACACCATCCCAGTATGAACAGACTCTCCTGGATGATAGAAAAAGGAACAACTTCCCAATTAATTCCTTGAGACTGTTCTATTGTAACCTTGAAAATAAAACTAGACAAAGACAGGGGCCGGCTCAGTGGCGGAGTGGTTAAGTTCGTGCGCTCTGCTGCGGTGGCCCAGGGTTCGGATGCTGGGCGCGGACATGGCACCACTCGTCAGGCCACGTTGAGGCGGCGTCCCACATCCCACAACTAGAAGGACCTGCAACTAAGATATACAACTGTGTACGGGGGTGGTTGGGGAGATAAAGCAGGGAAAAAAAAACTAGACAAAGACATTATGAGCAAGAAAAATTATAGATTAATCTCACTCATGTACATAGGTATCAAAACCATAAGCAAAATATTAACAAACTGAATCCAATGGCATTTTTTTTAAAGATGTACCTTGACCAAGTTGAGTTTATCTCAGAAATACAAAAATGGTCTAACTTTAAGAAAACCTTAAATTTCATTCACCAAATTAAAGGAGAAAAATTATGAAGTCATTTCAGTAGATTGCATTTGATAAAAATCCTGTACCACTCATGATGTAAAGCCAATGCAAATTAAGAATAGACAAGAACTTCCTTAATCTGATGAGAAGAATCAACGAAACGTGTACATCAAAGATGACTCTTAATGGGGGGAATATTTAAAATAATTATTTGAAGTCAGGAAAAAGAATGCC